CATGCGCACTTGTGAGCACACGTGTTGTCAGCTAGCTACAGGTCGTCGAGATGAGGGTTTGCAACTGTGGAGGGTTAGAGAGAGTGGTGAGCGTATAACTGAATCGATGGCTGCAAAGTTTTTCTTGTCGTTCCGGTGAGTGCAATCAACGTAACCTTGCAGCTCGTGATCGCGCCGTCTTTGTTTCCCACAGTCGAGCGAATTACTCGCAATTGAGAACTGTTGAGAGCTCGCTGCCTGCTAACGCCACTCCTCGTTCAACATCGTCTCTTTCACTTTCCACGTTAGTATTACTTATAACTTGTATAATTCATTGCAGTGGCTCTAATATGGTGAGTGTGATTCAGTATCAGTACCACCTGCATTTCATCGAAGTATCAGTCCACCAGTGTTTACTCTTTTAGCATGAGACTGCTGCTTGCTCTTATACACTGAGGAAAGTGTGCAATACTGAGCAATGTTACTGCTGCAGATGGTACTTTGGAGACCTGTCTCACGTGAAGGCAGAGGAGCTGCTGAGTCGACCTGGACTGAGGTCTGGGACGTTTCTCGTGAGAAAGAGCTCCTCCTGTCCTGGCAGCTTTGCTCTGTCTGTGCTGAACCAGGGGAAGGTCTTCCACTATCTTATCATTGGAGACAGCAGCGGAGGTGGGGCCTCTGCAAGCTGCACAGCAGCCTTATAACAGCTGTAGCTATTGTGTACTGTCCTAGATGTATGGTGGTAAGGGAAGCTCCAAGTATGTGAGCACAAACAATGTGCATGTATAGTTATTTGGCATTGTGTGGCTTCCACGCATGAAGTCCTAAGCACAACATGCTCAATGATGATAACTGTATTTGGACACTTGTGAGGTCATAAGCACAACTTGCTCAATGATGATAACTGTATTTGGACTGTAGGCGTGTATGTTGGACTGACCAGTGAGAGGAAAGTGCTCAACACGATGGAAGAACTCGTCACCTACTACAGATCTGGTAGCAACTTCCTAGTTTGCAAGCTGACCGACAGCTGTCCAAAGTCCTCGGTGGACTCCGCCTCTCTTGAGATCGAGCGCTCCTCTCTCGTCCTCCGCGAGAGACTCAGCAGCAGTGGCAGTGACGACATGTGGTACGGGATCTGGACCAGAGAAGGGAGGAAATTACCAGTCCACGTGCGGAGGTTGTCCCCACAGCTGTACAGCAAGACCGACGTGATACACGAGACGGACATGACTCGCCAAACTGTGTGTTCCCTTCGCTGTTTTTTTTTACAACACATTGTTTAACTATTTTTCTGGAAAGCGAACGTTATTATTTTTGATTCCTGATGCATTGCAGAAAACGCTGGCATAATAATATTCCCGCCACTGCGCGCATCCGCACTTGTGAGCACACGTGTTGTCAGCTACCGGTCGTCGAGATGAGGGTTTGCAACTGTGGAGGGTCAGAGAGAGTGGTACTGAGAGTGTAAACTGAATTGATGGCTGCAAAGTTTTTCTTCTCGTTACGGTGAGTGCAATCAACGGAACCTTGCAGCTTGAGTTTGGTTTGGAAGAGGACTGTTGGAATTTGTGTCGACTCATCGCTCCCGTGGCGTGGAGGAGGTTGAGCGTATCGTCAAATGCACGACGAAGTAGCTCATATTCTTGCAGAGTCGACGAGCGTACCCGATTCTTGGGGGTCGAGACTTGTCGATGAACAGACGAAGAAGACGAACCTTCCTTCTGTTCTTCTTCAGTTGCTTTCTCTTCCATCGTGATGTTGACAGGATCGGTGAGATCTTGGAGCCGTACTTCTTTCCTGGCTGACACGTGTCGTTCCACCACTGGAGGTGCGTCGGTGAAATCCACAGACACCCATCCTTCCAAGTCCCCGTCCAAATCCCCGTCACAAGGGCTGTCCCCGTGATGGAGATGGGAGGAAGTTGATCGGTGGTGGGTGGGTCTTCTGGACTGCCAGTCGAGACCGCGTCTGTGGGGTGAAGTGTTGACTTTTTTCTCCTGTTGGAGGTAGCTGAGTGTGGCTATGTCGAGTGGAGTCTGGCCTCTGTTGTTGGAGGTGTTGACAGTCTGGAAGAAAAGGAGGAGAGAGGAAGCATGTGGTAGTGCTAGTCCTATTTACATGTTCTCATGTATTCAGTTACAAGCCCTTTACAAGCCTACACCTTCTTCTGAGCTACAACTATCCTACCTGAACGTCAACAAAAGAATGTCGCTTGAAGGTCTTGTGGAGCTCAAGCGAAGGACTCCCTTTCTTCCTTACCACTGGAGAGACTCGCGAAGCTGGTGGAAAGAGAAATCGGACGTTTCGAGGTCGCCGAGCGACGAGAAGACGCGCAGCGTTGTCTTTTCGTCTCCCTTTCCTTTTCAGTGAATTCAACAGCCCACGTTTTCAGCGTAGGCTTGCGATCTGTCTTTCGGCGCTGCGGTCCTTTTCCGTCCGAGTCTAAACCCACTGGTTTGCGTTTCGGCGAGGATCGGGAGAGGTTCCCTCGTCTGCTGCTGTGTTTGTGGAGCTTTGAGGAGTAGCAACACTCTCCTTGCTAGCTGATAACGAAAAGACTCCTCACTCTACACAAAATTTCTATCTGGCTCACTCTTATTTCTGATGGAAGACCATCTACGCCCTCTTGAATAGCAGCCTGACAGTCTGGAAGAAAAAGGGGAGAGAGGAAAGCATGTGGTAGTGCTAAGTCGCAAACACATGTTCTCATGTATTCAGTTACAAGCCCTTTACAAGCCTACAATTTCTTCTGAGCTACAACTAGCTTTCTTCCTTACCACTGGAGAGACTCGCGAAGGCTGGTGGAAAGAGAAATCGGACGTTTCGAGGTCGACCGAGCGAGAAGACGCGGCAGCGTTGTCTTTTCGTCTCCCTTTCCTTTTCAGTGAATTCAACAGCCACGTTTTCAGCGTAGGCTTGCGATCTGTCTTTCGGCGATGCGGTCCTTTTCCGTCCGAGTCTAAACCCACTGGTTTGCGTTTCGGCGAGGATCGGGGAGAGGTTCCCTCGTCTGCTGCTGTGTTCGTGGAGCTTTGAGGAGTAGCAACACTCTCCTTGCTAGCTGCAGATTCTTTCCCTTGAGGCTCTAAGCCGTCTCGCCCAGTGGCTGCCGTATCATCATCGGCCATTTCTGTTTTGAGCCACGCCCCCCACATAAATAATAACCGCCCCCTTCTTGTATCGCCAGCTACACCCACCCTAATGGCTGCAACTCTTCTCGCTCGGTTGACTGGGTCCTCTACCAAGTACGAGCCATTGCCAAGAATATTTCACATCTCAGGGACGTGTAGGTAGCAAAGTGGTAGTGCAGGGAGGACGGACAAAGGACTTCTCAGACAAGAGCAGGCAACAGTTGAGCTCCGTCGTAGAGATCTTCGACCCCTACTCTGAGTTGTGGGAGCAAAGACAAGTCAAAGGAGACGCTCCGTCGCCTGGAACGTATGCTGCAGCCAGTGCATCACTCTGTGACGACCTTTTCTCGTTTGGGGGGTTTGATGGCAGACAACGCTTCAACACTCTCCACAGACTGGACTCTAAGACGTGGTGCTGGAGTCAAGTGTCTCCTCAGAATGCAGACGGAGCTCCTATGCCCAAGAATTCCTGTGCAATGATAGCATTTAGGAACAGTTTGGTAGTGTTTGGTGGATATGGAGTACGCCGAGGACCTACAGAACCTCATTCATTTATCCAGAGTACCACCACTCCTGGCGAAGGGTGGACGAATGAGCTTCATATCTACAATCTCTCAGAAGGTATATATAAAGTGTAATTATGTTCTACCTGGATGCTCAACCTGACAAAACATAATATGCAAGAAGGGCATTGCATGTGTGTTGCCACCAGCCTTGCACGTGTCAATGCTCAGCTCTCCATGACTCTGGCTGAGTCTCAATTTTCCACATGCATATTACACATTTTACAGCAATGATGAGGTAAGATTATGTAATGAGTTAAGAAGTAAGCAGCCTACGTTGAGTACGGGTGCTACACATGCAGCTCTTTCTGCATACTGTACTTAGTAATGTAAGCGTGGCACATATAGCTAGCTTTTATTAAATTTAGCACAAGTAAAATCATTTTGTGCGTCTATTTCATTTGGCACTATGCAAGGCACATTAGTTTGAGCATTGTTGATCAAAATTTGCTTAATTGTCTCCTCTATCTTCACTGCAGGTGTGTGGAGCTGTCCTGCCACCACTGGAGAGAGACCTCCTCCATGTTCTGGCCCACACCTTCACTGCAGTAGATGACAGGAGGGCAGTCGTGTTTGGAGGATAAATGGAGAGCAGGGCAAAATGAATGATGTCTACATCATTGACCTCTCCACTATGGTATTTAAACGACATGTTGGGACCATGCAATTAAAATTTGAAAATGTGTCCTTTTATTTCGGAATGTCCTTTATAAAACTACATTGCCACACCCCCTCAGTGGGTGGTGTGTAGTGGTAACACAATTCTTGCACAAAGTGACGGTAGTACTGTTTGGTCTCACGTTTTCTGCTGCTACACAAAAGAAATGCATGTGCACCAGTACCATTGCCACTGCTTGTTTCTCTGACTGGCAGCAGAGTCCAACTTTTTTAGACCGACCCTGCTACACACTTCACTTTTTAGGGTGTGAAATTTTGGGGGTGATTCCACTGTCTATGTAAATGGTGTGTATTATTCCAGAAATGGAGCAAACTCAACAAGTCAGGAGGTGGACCTTGGCCAGAGGAGAGGTCCTGTCATGCAGCTTGTTGTCTCAACTATGGCCAGCAGTTCCCTCAACTACTGGTGACTGGGGGAATAGACAGACGGAACCAGCCACTAGAAGATGTCTGGATTCTTGATATAGACAGAGGGAAATGGAGAAAGGTAAGACAAGCCTAACTTATCCCATATTATTATACACATGACTGTTGACATTCTCTCACAACATGCGTGTCTAGGAGAGGCCTACTCTGAAGGCTCGCTGGGCTCACTCTCTCACTGCCTTCAGTCTGGCTCCAGGACTGACAGAGGTTGTGGAGTTTGGAGGGACTTCTGAGCCGTGGACTGGATCTGATAAACACTCAACCTAAAATAGCAGACACAACTCTGCTCCAGTTCAGTGAGGATAAACACACCCTAAACAGCTCAGGCAAACTGTAGCTACTGATCACACATAAAACCTCTATATAAAATGGCAATTATAACATAGAATAATCTTATTCAGGACTAGTGGAAAGCTCTGGACAGTCTCAATGGGAGCTACTCTCTGTAGTTGACAACACACAACGTGGATCACAGGAGAGAATGATTGAGAAATTCCGCTACACAGCAGAGATCTGGCAGCGATCCACAGGAGAGGGTGAGACGGCGAGAATGGAGAGAAGACAACTGGAGAGGGAGAGGGACAGAGCCTTGGGGGAGAAGAGGGTAATGGAGAGGGAGAGGGACAGAGAAAGGGAGGAGAAGAGGGTAATGGAGAGGGAGAGGGACAGAGAAAGGGAGGAGAAGAGGGTAATGGAGAGGGAGAGGGACAGAGAAAGGGAGGAGAAGAGGGTAATGGAGAGGGAGAGGGAGAGGGTGAGGGTGGAGTTGCAGCGATGTCAAGCAAGAGCCAACCAGCTGCAGGAGAGGCTGGAGGAGGTTGAGAGGAGGGAACACGAGAAGGTGGTGGTTCAAGAGCAAGCCATTGCAGCCGAGCAGCGAGGTCCGTCATGGGAAGTGATGGAAGACGAGTTGGAAGAAACAGAGGAAGAGCTTGGCTGTGGGGGATGGGCGAAAGTGAAAGTGGCTAAACTCAAAGTGGCAGCAAAATGTCTGCACGGCCAGTTGATCTACGACTACCACCGTCAACTGTTCAGACGAGAAATGGACGTAGCAGCCAGAGTCAGCCACCCCAACTTGCTGCGTTTCCTCGGAGCCAGACTGGAGGGAGGCATGGCCATTCTGACAGAGTTCATGCCGACTAGTCTCAGAGCTCTGGTCAACAGACGTCCACGACAACGTCTTCCTCTGGAACACGTCCTCTCCATCGCAATTGACGTGGCCCGTGCCCTCAACTACCTCCACAACATGAGCCCCGACCCCATCATCCACAGGGACCTCAGCAGTGCCAACGTTCTCCTCCAGCCCTCTCCCGACGGAGGCTGGCTCGCCAAGGTCTCTGACTACGGCACCGCCAACTTCCAGAGTCAGCTTCAGACCGTGAATCCCGGCAGTCCAGTGTACACTGCCCCCGAGTCCCACGACCCTGCTCTCCAGACACCCAAGATGGACATCTACAGTTTCGGCGTGCTCCTGGTGGAGATGTATACGTGTGATTTCCCTGCTCCTGAACGTCGTGCTGAGCTGATGGAGTCCATCGACCACCCCAGACTCTTGAACCTCATCCGACAGTGTCTGAACGTAGACAGAGATCGACGTCCGACAGCTGCTCAACTGGTGGACCTCCTGCACGCCATGCAGTGAAGACAGACACATCTCTGTCACCATACTCGCGATATCTAAATACATGCACGCCATTTGACAATACTTGTGTCCCCCTTTGCTGTTTTTTTACACAGCACATTGTTTAATTGTTTCTTTTCTGGAAAGTGAACATTATTATTATTTTTTGTCGTTTTGATTCCTGACGCATTGCACAAAGCATTGTCATAATATTCCCGCCACTGCGCGCATGCGCACTTGTGAGCACACGTGTTGTCAGCTACCGGTCGAGATGAGGGTTTGCAACTGTGTAGGGTCAGAGAGAGTGGTACTGAGAGCATAAACTGAATCGATGGCTGCAAAGTTTTTCTTCGTGCGTGTAACAACCTCGTGCTGGCGCGGGTAGGATCGAGTTGTTCTGCTCAAATCAATACACAAGGCACAAGGCCAACCACAACACACCAATCTATATATCTGTAGGATGATGTCATGACATTCGTACAACTATCAGGAACACACACGATACATAGTATACCGAACATACAGCAATTGTGATACAACACAAACAGTCCATACATATTATAGGTTATACATTAAAACATGAATACAGCTAATATATACAACATACGCTAATATAACAACACACCATAACAACACAGTGCGACACTGGCTCCAAACGCTATCAGGACTTTCACTGCCTCCACGTCTCCTTTCTGTGGGAAATAGAGCTGTAACGTCCCTGCGCTTACAAACATGGTTCTAATCGCTGGGAGAGACGGCGCCTGACGCACAAGCAAGTCTTTGAGGGTTTTCTGAAACATTCTAAATCGCTGAGAGTGGGCTGTTCATACTCAAACCTCTACCTCTCATTCCCTCAGACCCCTCTCTCAGTACATCGGTTCAACCATTGTATGGAGGAGGAATATGAATATGCTACTAAGTTTGTGAAAACAAGGCCTGAAAATCACTTATAATTCACTAGCATTTCAGCCATATAGTCACCCCAGCCCCTCCCAGCAAGTGATCTTACTGGCTTACGTAAGGGTTTCAGAGGTTACAAGGCTAACTAACCTGAACGGCACAAAACTATCACAACAAGCATGTCAATGGTATAAGTACCTTCACAGCCAGGTGTAGGGGTGTATTGCCATCTTCAGTCCTACAGTCAACCTCCACCTCAGCAGTGGTCAAAAGAGAGACCAAGAAGTCAGTCTTGTCCTTCTTGACAGAGTCTGTCCATACATAGTAGTGGAGAGGTGTGCCACCCTGGGAGGATAAGAAACAATGTGGCGAGAAAATGTAGGAAGTGAAAGAAAGAAACTTTAACCATATTATTTGCAGTAGGATGTGCTGATGCACAAGGCGCAATGGGGCAATGTGATGTATTGTTAACCCAGCCAAAGGAAAAATGTAGGAAAAATGACCAAAATTAGCTAAGTCCAGCTATTCTTCATCACGAAAAAGAACTCCCCACTCTACACAAAATTTCTATCTGGCTCACTCTTATTTCTGATGGAAGACCATCTACACCCTCTTGAATAGCAGCCTTGACAGTCTGGAAGAAAAGGAGGAGAGAGGAAAGCATTGCGGTAGCACTATGTCTATTTACAAGCAAACATTTTCATGTATTCAGTTACAAGCCCTTTACAAGCCTACACCTTCTTCTGAGCTACAACTATCCTACCTGAACGTCAACAAAAGAATGTCGCTTGAAGGTCTTGTGGAGCTCAAGTGAAGGACTCCCTTTCTTCCTTACCACTGGAGAGACTCGCGAAGGCTGGTGGAAAGAGAAATCGGACGTTTCGAGGTCGACCGAGCGACGAGAAGACGCGGCAGCGTTGTCTTTTCGTCTCCCTTTCCTTTTCAGTGAATTCAACAGCCACGTTTTCAGCGTAGGCTTGCGATCTGTCTTTCGGCGCTGCGGTCCTTTTCCGTCCGAGTCTAAACCCACTGGTTTGCGGTTCGGCGAGGATCGGGGAGAGGTTCCCTCGTCTGCCGCTGTGTTCGTGGAGTTTTGAGGAGTAGCAACACTCTCCTTGCTAGCTGCAGATTCTTTCCCTTGAGGCTCTAAGCCGTCTCGCCCAGTTGCTGCCGTATCGTCATCGGCCATTTCTGTTTTTGAGCCACGCCCCCCACATAAATAATAACCGCCCCCTTCTTGTATCGCCAGCTACACCCACCCTAATGGCTGCAACTCTTCTCGCTCGGTTGACTGGGTCCTCTACCAAGTACGAGCCATTGCCAAGAATATTTCACATCTCAGGACGTGTGGGTAGCAAAGTGGTAGTGCAGGGAGGACGGACAAAGGACTTCTCAGACAAGAGCAGGCAACAGTTGAGCTCCGTCGTAGAGATCTTCGACCCCTACTCTGAGTTGTGGGAGCAAAGACAAGTCGAAGGAGACGCTCCGTCGCCTGGAACGTGTGCTGCAGCCAGTGCATCGCTCTGTGACGACCTTTACTCGTTTGGGGGGTTTGATGGCAGACAACACTTCAACACTCTCCACAGACTGGACTCTAAGACGTGGTGCTGGAGTCAAATGTCTCCTCAGAATGCAGACGGAGCTCCTATGCCTAAGACTTTCTGTGCAATGATAGCATTTAGAAACAGTTTGGTAGTGTTTGGTGGACATGGAGTACCCCGAGGACCTACAGAACCTCAATCATTTATCCAGACTACCACATTCACTGATGGCGAAGGGTGGACGAATGAGCTTCATATGTACAATCTCTCAGAAGGTATATATAAAGTGTAATTATGTTCTACATGGATGCTCAACCTGACAAAACATAATATGCAAGAAGGGCATTGCATGTGTGTTGCCACCAGCCTTGCACGTGTCAATGCTCAGCTCTCCATGACTCTGGCTGAGTCTCAATTTTCCACATGCATATTACACATTTTACAGCAATGATGAGGTAAGATTATGTAATGAGTTAAGAAGTAAGCAGTCTACGTTGAGTACAGGTGCTACACATGCAGCTCTTTCTGTATACTATACTTAGTAATGTAAGCGTGGCACATATAGGTAGCTTTTATTATAATTAAGCACAAGTAAAATCATTTTGTGTGTCTATTTAATTTGGCACTATGCAAGGCGCATTAGTTTGAGCATTGTTGATCAAAATTTGCTTAATTGTCTCCTCTATCTTCACTGCAGGTGTGTGGAGCTGTCCTGCCACCACTGGAGAGAGACCTCCTCCATGTGCTGGCCACACCTTCACTGCAGTAGATGACAGGAGGGCAGTCGTGTTTGGAGGAAAAATGGAGAGCAGGGCCAAAATGAATGATGTCTACATCATTGACCTCTCCACTATGGTATTTAAACGACATGTTGGGACCATGCAAATTTAAAATTTGAAAATGTGTCCTTTTATTTCGGAATGTCCTTTATAAAACTACATCGCCACACCCCCTCAGTGGGTGGTGTGTAGTGGTAACACAATTCTTGCACAAAGTGACGGTAGTACTGTTTGGTCTCACGTTTTCTGCTGCTACACAAAAGAAATGCATGTGCACCAGTACCATTGCCACTGCTTGTTTCTCTGACTGGCAGCAGAGTCCAACTTTTTTAGACCGACCCTGCTACACACTTCACTTTTTTAGGGTGTGAAATTTTGGGGGTGATTCCACTGTCTATGTAAATGGTGTGTATTATTCCAGAAATGGAGCAAACTCAACAAGTCAGGAGGTGGACCTTGGCCAGAGGAGAGGTCCGTCCATGCAGCTTGTTGTCTCAACTATGGCCAGCAGTTCCCTCAACTACTGGTGACTGGGGGAATGGACAGACGGGGCCAGCCACTAGAAGATGTCTGGATTCTTTGATTATGACAGAGGGAAATGGAGAAGGTAGACAAGCCTAACTTATCCCATATTATTAACAATGGACTGTTGACATTCTCTCACACATGCGTGTCTAGGAGAGGCTACTCTGAAGCTCGCTTGCTCACTCTCTCACTGCCTTCAGTCTGGCTCCAGGACTGACAGAGGTTGTGGAGTTTGGGGACTTCTGACCATCGACTGGGATCTGAATGAGACTCAACCTAACATAGCAGACACAACTCTGCTCCAGTTCAGTGAGGATACACACACTCCTAAACAGCTCAGCAAACTGTAGCTATCTGATCACACATAAACCTCTATATAAATGCCATTATAAATAGAATTCTTATTCAGGACTAGTGGAATGGCAGAGGGTGAGGGTTTGGAGGAGAGAGGGAGAGTGAGTGGTGGAATTGGCAGGCGATGTCAAGCAAGAGCACCACGCAGGGGAGGCTGGAGGAGGTTGAGAGGAGGGAACACGAAGAAGGTGTGTTTCAAGAACAAGCCTTGCAAGGCCGACCATCGAGGTCCGTCATGGGATGAGGAGACGAGTTGGAAGAAACGAGGAAACTCTCGGAATATGAGGTGGGCTGTGGTGAAAGTGGCCAAACTCAAGGTGGCAGCAAATGGGGTCTGCACGGCCGGTTTGAGATACGACTCCCCACCGCACTGTTCCGACGAGAATGGACTCGCGCCAGAGTCATCCACCCCCCCAACTTTCTGCGTTTCCTCGGAGCCAGACTGGAGGGAGGCAATGGCCATCTTGACAGAGTTCATGCCGACTATTCTCAGATCTCTAGTTGACCAGATGTTCCACGTGTCTTCCTCTGGACACGTTCCTCCCATGCAATAGACGTGCCCCGTGCCCCAACTACCGCTCCACAACAGACCCCGACCCCATCATCCCAGGGACCTCAGCAGTGCCACGTTCTCCTCCATCCCTCATCCAGACGGAGGCTGTCTCGCCAAGGTCTCCTGACTACGGCACCGCCAACTTCCCCGGTCGGCCATACCGTGATCCCGCAGTCCAGTGTATGCACTGCCCCCGAGTCCCACTACCCTGCTCTCCAAGACCCCAAGATGGACATCTACAGTTTTCGGCGTGCTCCTGGTGCGAGATGTATACGTGGTTGATTTTCCCTGCTCCTAGAACTGTCTTGCTGAGCGCTGATGAGTCCAGCGACCACCCGTCTCTGAACCGTCATCCAAGTCTACGAGACAAGATCGCCTCCGACAGCTGCTCACTGGGGACCTCGCGCCATGCAGTAAAAAGACACACATCCTCTGTCAACCATACTCACGATATATAAATACATGCATGCCATTTGACAATACTTGTGTCCCTTTGCTGTTTTTTTACACAGCACCATTGTTTAATTGTCATTTCTTTTTCTGAGAAAGGAATGTATTATTTTTGTCGTTTTGATTCCTGACTTCCTGACGCATTGCACAAAGCAAACCGTCATGTTTACATTCCCGCCACTGCGCGCATGCGCACTTGTGA